GCCCTCGGGCCCAGCCCGGCCCCGCTCGCTCGCCCGCCCTCGGGCCCAGCCCGGCCCCGCTCGCTCGCCCGCCCTCGGGCCCAGCCCGGCCCCGCTCGCTCGCACCCGGGCCAGTTTGATGGGCTGCACGCGGCTCGTATCCATGGCGGCGGGTGCGGATAGGAGAGGGGGGGCCCGGCCCCCTCGCGCGTTTATATAACCCCAGCTATCGCGAGACCCAGCGTGCACCGCGCTCTGTCCCCTTCCCGGCGTGCGCCGCGCACCGCTTGCGTCTTCTCCGTTCCCGACAAGCACCGCGAAGGCGCCCTTCGCAGCGGCCAAGATGGCGTCCGCCACTCGCTTCATCCAGCGGCTCCGCAACTGGGCGGCGGGGGTAAGGGGGGGGGGCTCGCGCGGGCCTGTCCGAATCCCTGGGACGCGGTCCCCGGGGCCTAGCAACGCCCTCGTGGTGGGACCAGTGTAGCGCGGGCCCCTCCCCCGGGTCTGCCTACTAGCCTGTGCTTCCTGCCCGCCCTGGGCCCGGGCGCTTGTGACCCCTTCTCCCCTGTCCCCGGGCTGGCTGGCACCTCCCTGAGACCCTCTCGTCTTCTTTACAGCGGGACCTTCAAGCCAAGCTGCAGCTTCGGTACACGGAGATCTCCAAGAGGTAAATCCGGGGAGATGGGGACAGAGCTGGACTGCTCCTAGGCAAGCCCTTCTCCTCCTGTTAGTATGTGTGACACTCCGCACCAACTGCAGCTGAAACTCTCAAAGGGGAAAGGGTGAAGCCTAACTGGACCCAAACTGCTGTTGAATACAGACGTGCAACTTGGCGTCAAAAGAGAGAAAACAACTGTTCTCACTAATCTTTCACGTATAGGAACCTTAAATGTAACAGCAGAAGATAAAGTAAACTTTAGACAAAATTATCATAATATTTATTAGTAACTTGTTGCTACCAATTTAAATACAAATCTCAGGAACTGTAAAAGTTAAAGGAGACCTTCAAAAGTAGAAAAATGGTTTAGTGCTATTTTCTGAGTTCAGTACATAAAGACCTGAAAGTTTCTCCCTGCCCTCTGTTTCTTTCTGCTTATTTTATATTAGAAACGCAAGTTTTGTCTCTCTTTTTGGGAGGCAGGGAGGGGGAGAAACTCTGAGGATCTAATAGGGTAATCATATCCAATGCCATGCAAGGAAAACTTGATCATGAAGGGGAGTGAGTTTTATTCAAACAGTTTACACCTGTGGGGGTGGGGGGTTTTAAATAAATTATTATAGTTAATTAAAATGCTGGAGAAACATATTGAATTTTTAAGACTGTGCTCCAACCAATCAGGGACTAAAAGTGTTCAGAACTATGTTTGAGATCTCTGGAGTACAAAACCAGACTGGACAGTCTTGGTATTTCTAAGGTAAATAATGAAGCTGGGGGGAAAAACCCACAAGGTTTTCAGACCTCTTTACACTTCCTAAAGAACCAATACCTACTTTTTCTCTTTTGTCAGTCACATTTAAGATTTCAATAGCAACATTAACTTTCTCTGTTGCATATAATTGCATGATAGTTACTTTTTAGCCTTGCAAAGAACTCAAAATCCTGTTTCACATAGCTGAATTAATATTGCTGTGGAAATACACCTCTACCCCGATATAACGCGGCCCGATATAACATGAATTCGGATATAACGTGGTAAAGCAGCGCTCCGGGGGGGCAGGGCTGCGCACTCTGGCAGATCAAAGCAAGTTTGATATAACGCAGTTTCACCTATAACACAGTAAGATTTTTTGGCTCCCGAGGACAGCGTTATATTGGGGTAGAGGTGTATTAACTTTTTGTTTCCCAACTTTTGTATTTAAAGTTACAGCCTTACCATTGCATTGCTTAAAAAGAAAAAGAGGCTGCAAACTCGCTGTTCTACATCTCCTGGTGGGAAGAGTTATGTCTGTTACCCACATAATGGCTGATTAGCATCTGATAAGGAAAGACGCTCAGACCACCACATTTGGGGTCATGGGGAGGATCACCTATGATATCCCTGCTTAGGTCCATTTAGTGTTAATAGGGATGTAGACCTGTGCCTGGTAGGAAATGGAGAGTAAGACCTCCAGTTCATTTCTCCCAAAGGCCAACCGCATGCAGGTGGAAATGTTCCTTCACTACCCATGTTCTTGAACTTGGAGTGGCAGCCTGTAAGTGAAAGGCTGGATCGTGTTCCAAATATAGTAACTCCTCACTTAACTCGCCCCAGTTAACGTCGTTTCATTGCTGATCAATTAGAGAACATACTTGTTTAAAGCTGTGCAATGCTCCCGTATAACGTCATTTGGCAGCCGCCTGCTTTGTCCACTGCTTGCAGAAAGAGCAGCCCGTTGGAGCTAGCTGGTGGGAGCTTGGAACCAGGGTGGACCAGCAGCTCCCCTAAGTTCCCTGTGCGGCAGCTGCCCAGCAGGCTATCAATTGCCTGGCAGTTCAGCTGTATCTCCTCCCACTGCCTGTGCTGCTCCTGCCCTCTGCCTTGGAGCTGCTCCTGGGAGTCTCCTGCTTGCGGGGGCGGGGGGAAGAAGGGGAAGAGGGGTGCTAATGTCAGGGTGTCCCCCGCTCCTTTTCCCCATCTTCACAGAGCAGGGGGGGACACAACAGGGCTCAGGACAGAGGGAGCTTGCTGGCAGCAGCTGCTGTCTCAACTTGCTGGCCTACTTAAAAAGGCAATGTACTTAGATTAGGGTCAGTGTACTGAAAGGGGCAATGCGCGTCTCTCACATGGTGTGTGTGTCTCTCTCTCTCTCTACCATGCTGTGTCTCCTCCCTCCATTCGTGCTGCCTTGTAGAGTGTAAGGCTACATTAACAACATCCCTTGAGGGCTCAGCCGAGTGCTAGTTCATCATTTAGCAGTAAGGCATTCCGTGGGAAATATCCCACCCTCTTCCACCCTCTGACTCCACCACCTCAACTAAGCTTCACAATCATCATTGCTGTGTACAGTATTAAATTGTTACACACATATACACAGTATAAGTTTTAATGTATGTACATATAGTCTTTTGTCTGGTGAAAAAAATTTCCCTGGAACCTAACCCCCCCCCATTTACATTAATTCTTATGGGGAAATTGGATTTGCTTAACATTGTTTCACTTAAAATAGCATTTTTCAGGAACGTAACTACAACATTAAGCGAAAGTTACTGTACAAGATATCAGATTCTGCCTCTTCTCACTCTGTTCTTTAAAGGTTTGGTTCCTGATTTCTGTCTTCTCAGCAGCAGCTATACTCCTGTTCGAGCAACTGGAATTAACTTGTTCTTTTCCACCTGTATGTTGGAACCCAGTAATGATGTTGTATTAAGAGATGTATTCTCATTTGAAGGAGGTGTCTCTGTTTTTAGTGTAAATGATTGTCCTTTAAAGACTACAGGAGTCTGCTGAGTGAGTGAGTTTTCTGGATATCCTTTTTGTTGCTTGCTCTTTCCTCAGATTTGTTAACATAGTCCAGATACCGGCTACTTGCTCTCTGCAGGTGCCCTACTCTCCTAGTTTGGTACCGGGCAATGATGTTTCCCTAACTTTTAATATACTGCAGGGGAATTAGAACATACATGTTTGGAACTCTGCCCTGTTTTCTGTTTCTGTACATGAGATTGGGCTGTTATTCTTTGCCCTGTGAGCCTTTGTTTACATTAACAGATGCTCTGAATTCATGGCCCCAGTTCTGTATTTGTAGCCATGACTGTGTCTAAGGCTTTATGTGCTCAATCTGAAATCTTGGAAGGTGGCTCAAGATATAATGCTAGTGTGTCTTGTGCATAACACTACAGCGCCTATTTCTCATAATACTCCACTCAAGAGTAAGACTGAGAATATAGTTCTCGCTTAGCCTGGTGTGTGTGCTGATGCTTTCTTTGGATTGTTTGCTGTTTAGAACTCAACCACCTCCTAAACTTCCACTGGGTCCCAGTCACAAGTTTGCAAATAACTACTACTGTACTCGTGATGGACGCAGGGAGTCCTACCCTCCAATTATTGTTATGTCTCCGCAGAAATCCCTTCCATCATGCGCTCAAGGTGCCAGGTAGGTCCTATTTATCCTATGATCTGCAGCCATACAACTTCTGGCTGTGATATTGTGATCTTGCATGCTAAGCAGGGTCAAGTCTGGTCAGTATTTGGCTGGTGCACCACCATATAACACATCGCTGCTGCAATAAATGATGTTGACTGTTCAGTAGGTGTTGCTGCTAGTGAGTGAATGCTGAATTAGTGTGCAGTCTCTATGTACCTTCTTTTGAGTAAGAGGGGATGTTAGGGTTGGGAATGGTTTCCCTAAAATGTTCTATGTTACTAATAAACCCTGTATTGCTGTTAAATATGAATTGATTATATAAACTAACAGTTTCTGAAGGCCAGTCTCTGTCTCTCCCCTAGCTCAGAATCTGCAGTAGCAACAACTGAGAAAAAGCCAGTGACACCAGGTGTTCCACTTGAGAAGTGGGAACTATCGAAAGATCAACCTTACCTGTGAGCTGACCAAGTATGAAGAGAAGGCTGAATGAGAATGGACTTGATTGGATTAACTGAAAAGAAGCAGTCTGGCTGGCGATCCAGTGATGGGGTTAACTTCAGTAACGCTGTGTAGAATTTATTCTGGAAAAGAGACCATTTTGCTGGGGCATGACTGATTAAACATATTTATCTAATGTATAGCTAACGTTCTTTTCAGAACTTTCTTTATTCAAATGAAGGTTCGGAGTAAACTTGTATTTTATGGAAATGAGGGATAGATAATCTTGAGGTGTGAACTCAACAGCTCTCACAAGATGAACAGATTTGATCCTAATCACTCCTGGGATGAATCCTCAAAACACAGGTCGTGTACAAATTAGAGCTGGTGATACTTTGTCTGAATCATTATTAAAACAGTGTCTCTGTATGGTGCTAGAGGGTGCAGTTCTGCAAAAGGTACCATAGTCAGAATGAGACTTACAACTCGGAGCTATATGCAGTGTTGTTGTAGCCATGTTGGTCCCAGGATATTAGAGAGATCAGGTGGGTGAGGTAATATCTTTTATTGGACCAGCTTCTGTTGGTGAGAGAGAAAAGCTTTTGAACTTACACAGAGCTCTTCTTTATGTCTGGGAAACTTACTCAGGGGTTGGCTACACTTAC